CGCCATTGGCGAGGTGTTTCGGCGCATAATCGGGAAAGCGATCATGTCCGTCATTGAGAGTGATGTGACAGCTGTCACTGCTCCTCTCCAACTCTGTGTGGGAGTTCCTTCTGCGTGCGAGGTGGGAATTCAGGCTTTGTCCAGTACGTACGGCCGGGAGAGCACTGACGCCGTTCTACTTGTTGATGCCTCAAACGCATTCAACGCAGTGAACAGGGCTGTGGCATTGCACAATATTCCCCGGATATGTCCTGCTGCCGGACGTGTGTTCATCAACACGTACCAAAGCGACATCACACTTCTCCTGGACGGTGGTGAAGTGATCCAGTCGAGAGAGGGTACTTGTCAAGGCGACCCATTAGCGATGTCCTTTTATGCTTTGGCCCTGATTCCCCTTGTTCGGCATCTGCAGGAGGTCTGCCCCTCTGCGGGACAAGTGTGGTACGCCGATGATGACGCTGCTGCAGACAAGGTGCCGGCGTTGCTGTCGTACTGGCAGACGATATCCGATGTCGGTCCAAAGTATGGGTATTATCCTAACCCGAAGAAGACCATTCTCCTGGCAAAGCCCAATCTAGCTCTTCGTGCCGAGGAGGCATTTGCCGGGACCGGTGTTTCGGTTCACACAGACGGTGTTCGATATCTTGGAGGAGCTGTCGGCACTCAAGACTTTTGTGACAATTTTGTTCGTGAGCGTGTGGTGAATTGGGCTGGCCTCATTCAGCGCTTGTCCACGGTTGCCATGACGCAGCCCCAGGCTGCTTATCACCTGTTCATCTCATCCCTGCAGTCAAGTTGGACCTTCCTCCAGAGAGTCATTGCTGCCGACCCCCAATTGTTTGGGCCCCTGGAGACAGTCATTGTCCAGAGTCTTCTCCCTGCTTTGACGGGTCACACTCTGATGCTGAGGGTGATCTATTTGAAGGAGAGAACAAGTGTGCTGGAGAAACATTGCGAAGTCCTTAGGCCTGATGTAGTACCAGCTCTTGTTGAAGTCTCACTTGTTCCGATATGAACATTTTCTCAGCCCTGAATCAGAGCAACTGTACCTAGACTGGACTCAGCCCAGAGACATGGTATTGTAGACCTTAGGCCATGGTAGGCCATGGTCGTAGTGGTCATACCTCATGTGACGCCCCTGCATTCCTTCACTTGCTATTCGCTCCTTATCTACGTAAACTCAGGAGCTCTCAATGGGCGAAACAGGTGTCTGGAGGGTGTGGCACATCTATGCAAGAGAATTGCCTCGATATGGTGTGTTGAAATGGGCAAAGATTGCAGTGTGGAGAGATGGACAGTTCGAGCTCTACATCATTTGCTATATTTGCGATGTGATATAGTTTTTTTAAAATTAATCATGGCATTATTGCAACTATTGTCGCCAAATCACCTGTTCACATCTTCAGATATTTACTGTGCCAATGATGAAGTAAAACAAAAAAGCGAACTGGCCAACAAACAAAGACAAAGTGAAAGAAATGACTTACGGAACGGCTCCCGAAATTCACAGAAGTAGGAAAATTTCGAGTTTGCGCCATACCACTTTTCGTCAGATGCCCTCCTATTGGCACCTGTGGGCAAGCTCTTCACCCAGAGAGGTGGACGGGTAGTTCGGCTGATTTTTGCAACATGCGTCACCGTGCAATTGGAGTATAGCGTGCTGAGGCTTAAAATATCAGAATCGGTGGCAGAAACCGGCGCCAGGTGCTGACAATCCTGTACTGCTGCTTCGTACGTGGTATAAATGGGTTGTGCCCGGCTAGCAATCCATGAACAAGTGCTCGGACAATACGTTTCCAAAATGCCTGAAAAAGAAAAAGTAGAAATCCAATACTCCGAGGTTGAGCCGATATTTCTTATTTAAGGAGAAAAGGACCTATAAGTTACTAGTTATGACTAACAGTCCACCAAAGTAACGAGATATTATTATAATTATGGGCCACAACCAGCTAAAACATGTCTCATAGGCTAATTTTTCAAATTTTGTTTTCCTCCAGATAACAGTTTTGGACCTCTTGACGGTGGTGCAGGGCACGAAAGTAGTCTAAAAGTAGCCCAAACACCTATTTCAAAATAAACTTTGAAATAGAAAATGACAGTTTTCGTACATTCTGACACACAGACAAACTTCGTTGCTTTTGTGGAGAAGCACAATACAGAGGAACTAGATATGATGACACAGACTTGAGCATTAGCGACATCAGTTCCGAGTCATGGACCAAGTTCTTCCTGGAAAGCATCACGATGCCCTGGGCGGAGTTGCAGTTGCATACTCTTTCGATTCTGGCAGTGACACTGATTCAGCTTCGCTGTCGACATCAACATCACTGAGATCCCAAAGATTGTCATCGTCGCTCTGCAGACCCGCCGTCACGGAAATGCTGATACCCGACCAAACCTGCGCTGTACACAGCGATCGTCTGGCCCTGCAAGCCGCTCTAGTGTCACTAGATACGAACATTGTCAGTCTTTTCTCGCCAACTACTTGAACTACACCGCCAAACTAGTGTTTGAACAAATTTTGAGAAGATGATCGCCACCGGGCCATGCATGAGGCGCAGCGTGAACGAGCTCGACAAACATGTTTTCATTCCGCCATTTCTCAACTTTTTTTTTTACGAAACCCCAAAGACATGGTTTAGTTGATCGCGGCCCATATAGTAAGATAATGCAACAAGGCACTGTTCCAAAAAAAATTGCTTTATTTTGGTGCGGGAGGGCCCGGGAATTTGTCCGAGAATACACGACTGATGTTAGGAGAAGTCTATTATAAAACAAAAAAAGGATAAAAAGGGTCAGAACCAAAACCGGGAACATGTGTCAATGATTTTTCCTGATGATCTGAAATATAGTTCCCTTTGGGCTTTCCTACTTCATTGATTTTGCTGCCAAGGCTGTGCGAGGGCTACGGATATCCCTGCGGGCTGATATTTCCAGCCATGCCAGGCATGGTTTTTGAATGTGTGTTCAGCAGATTGGTATCAATGTAGGACATGTTTGTGAAGGGTTAAGGTGGTTCACATTCAAATCTAAAGTAAATCACAGAGAAACTAGTTATATTGCAGCCACAGTAATGTCAAAAACAGTAGTTTACAAAAAAATGAGGTCATCCTATTTCACCCACTTACGGCCAAAGACGTATATTTTTCAATTCCAAATAAGGAGTGCAACATACAAATGCCTCACCGATGCATTGTGAGCCATTTTCTCTATATCCAGTATTGCATGGACACGAGTAACTGCCGTCGCTGTTTAAACAGTTCGAATTCTGGGGGCAAACAAATCCTGGTGTGATACATTCATTGACATCTGAGACAAACCAAGTTGGCAAGAAAGTGTGAGTGTGAGCAAACAAATTTCAAACACAGTAGCCATTTCCCTCTAAATCAATTCACTGTTTAGGGTGCAATGGCCAACAAGTATGAATTATGATGATAATATACAGTTGACATTCAGCCCAGTATAGGCATCACCCATCAGGTTAACGCCTCTGACGGTAAAAGAGAAAAAGAATCGAAACGTATTATTATGGCATGGTTGGAAGGGCAATAATGAATTTTCAATGCCCGAGAGGTGAGCCCGAAGGCCGTGGGCATACAGAGTCAGTGGCGGTTCTGGGAACATTAGGCGTACAGATGATCGTGGCTCGTTGCTGAGCAGACTGAATGGGATATTTTGCCGAAATTGAACTGGTGATTGAAAATCGTGTAACATTGATGGGAGGCCATTGAAATAATGGAGAGATTTATACAGAGGGGGCAGTTGGAAAATAGCAAGTCTGAGCGATCCGCAAACTGTGGCCTGTATTAATTAAAAGAGTCGATTTCTCAACGTACCTATCATTCTTCATTCTTATACAGTACAATAACTCACCAGAACATGAAGGTTGGGCCAGATTGCCATATGCTGTGCAGCTTGATGTCTTTGTGCCAATCAGATTGTAGCCCTTGTTGCAGGTAAAGGTCACAGAGTCTGGATATTGGATCTTCCCAATTTGGCTTGAGGCCCCGTTCTTCAATGGTTGCACTGAACACGTCACAGCTGGAAAACAGGTAAAGAAATGATATACCTTCATCAAAAACTTGCACCCTAGCGTTTGGTGTCTCTCACTTAATTAAAATTTTAACCTAACAGTAAATTCTGCTGGTCCTGTACAAACCCTCTAAAAATTTTCCTTAGCAACATTTTTCGTCGACAACTCACTCTATTTACCGGTAGTTGCAATTCACTTCTTGGCGCATGCGCTGGATGAATTTTTTTATATTCGTGATGTCGAAAATGATTGACGTTTCGGGCCACTGAGGCCAGTCACCCATCGTCAGAACAATTAACAAGGGGCGAACCTGGCCTTTTATAACGAAAGCAAGCGAGAGCGTATGTATGTCCATGCACAAAACAAACGAAACACACAATAGCCGTATGAATTTGCATGTACAAGAGAAAAGGGGAAGTGCGCTGAAAGAGTGGGTATGTAGCAACTTGGGGAGCTCCCTCTGAACCTCAGCATTGTGAAAGCGGATCATGCCAAGTGCTGGTGGGTTGTGTTGCTTGGCTCTTGGAAGGCTGGATGGGTCAATGTCATTGTCTCCAAGACTGCATTTCTGTGAGAAGAAATTCCCAAAACATTCCAACTTGTCCTTCGCGGTGCGGTGCTCTCTGCTGTTCTCATCAATGAGTGTGGGAATATCAGACTGGTGTCCAAAACCACCTGCACGCTTAATGGTACTCCACCATTCCTTGTCTTTGAGACCGCCAGTTGTAAGCTTAGTGCGAAGTGTAATCTGTTCGCCAGCTTGTGCTCTTGCCATTGTGCGAATATTCTGTGTCACGGCATCGGAATACATACGTTGTGACTATTGTTAGCCTGGATAACGCTACCACGCCTTCCAAGCTTGTTGCTTTGCGGCGACAACAGCATTGCATTCAGGTGTCCACCAAGTCGGATTCAATGGGCGTGTGATAAGTTGCTCACATTGTACCCCATCGTAACCCCACCCCCCCCTGCAATGTGTTGGTTTCCTTACTTGCTAGACTGATTTTTTTATGATTCTGGACTGATTTGAATCACATTATCTTCCTTATTGGCCATGGGCCATTGTGGAAATAAAGAATAATTAATGCTGGATGAGCTGATGCCGAGCAGTCACCTCTTCCATGCACTACAAGAAGTACTCGCCGGCTGAAGTTGTCTCCATGTGTACAAGCCACCTGGCATTGAGCACATTGAAGTCCCCTGCGAGGATGGTGTGAGCAGCGCTGTGTCGCACAAGGTCGATTGTGGTGTCCAGGTACTCTATGAGGGAGACGTCTAAGTCGCTACTGGTCCCAGGGCGGTAGACAGCTCCAATAACCGTTTTCAGGTTCTGTGTGTTCAAAACAGTAAGCCAGATTTTTTTTCTTTTATTTTCCATCGGAAGCCTCAACAGTGATGAACACAACTCTTAAGAGGGCCGATAACAGAGTAGAGGGGTGTGGGGTGAGAAAAAATAATAATAATAATAAGAGATATTTAAACTAAACTAAACTGATACTTGGAACAATAAAGCAGCAGTAAGCAGTAAGCAGTAAACACAGGCATACAATACAAGCGATGCAGATCAATGAGGCCGTTTGCTGAAAAGAAGATCAAAATACTTCTGAAAAGACGCTGCGTCTTTAAGCATGGTCATAATGGGATAATGCAAGAATTAAAGAGATGTTTTTTAAAACGAATTTAAACTAGGAACGCAGTAAACACAGTTATACAATACATGCGGTGCTGATCAATGAGGGAGTTTGCTGAAAAGAAGATCAAAATACTTCTGAAAAGACGCTGCGTCTTTGTCTCCAGATGACCTCATGAGCGTCGGATTGGTATCTCTCCAAGTGCTGATAAACGAGCCCCTGCTTCAGCCAGACAGCAATTCCGCCACCATTGGCATGCGTTCTTTTTCGTTCCTGGCGGCAGACAGATGGAATGCTCTTCCCATTGACTGCGGTCCGGCCCCGTCTCTTACCCTGTATGTAAACATGGTAAAAATTCACCTAGGGTTTCCAGGAAAAAGGCAACGCCTGTTGGGACTCCCCTAGTAAAATAATAAAATATACTACTACTCCTACTACTCGCAATTCTGTCCCGGCAGATAGGTCAGGAGTAGCCTGGGATGGCTGCCTCCACTTGTGTGAATTTGTCTGAGGTGAGCTTCGACGCTGTAACGATGGAAATATCCACCGCTTGCTGGAGGAGTGGATGACGAAGTTCGCCAAACTTGGAGTAAACTCCACACGCATTGTGGAGTTGTGTGCCCGACCTGCTCGCAGAGGTTCACACGTCTGCAGTACCTGGCTCAACACAAATGCAAGAAGTAACTCTGCCCTCCTTGCCTCTTTGAGGCACTGCATCACCTTTAGGTGGCAGTTTCAAGGTTCAAGGTTCAAGGTGTGTGTGTGTGTCTGGGTGTGTATACAGTCCAGAAGTCGTCCGTTCTACTCCATTGTTTCCTCTGTTTTGCCAGTTCTGCTAGCTGATTCTCTTTATTTGCCATTGCCCCTCATAGTGCTCATGCTTGGGTTGAGGGCGACGTGACCCGTTTAATGTAGCTGTATCATAGTAATGTGTGTGTGTGTTTGTGTGTGTGTGTGTTTGTGTGTATGTGTGTGTGTGTAAAAATTCGCGGAGAGGAAGCAGATTTGTTAGCTCCTGGTTTTCTCTTTGTTGGCCTCCTCCACGGGGCGGCCTTGGCCTTCTGGTCAGGGTCGTCCCTGGGTATTGACTGGCAGTAGGCTTTTCATGCCTTGCAGCCGGTTTCGCTCGCGCGGAAGGACATTCAGTGAGCTGACGACCAGGGCGGGTAATTTGTTGCCGTCACCGTCTTCTTGCGTCCTTTCGGCTTCCTCCGCAGTGGCGTGGCGAGCCCTCGGATCAATCCCCAGCCTGTAACAATGCAGTGGCGTTCGGCAAAACAAGTGGATTCCTGAATGAAAAAGGATACAGGTCACACTCGCAACAATTTATTCCTGAGCGGTGATAGCTGGAATTGTGAATTTGTCGTGTTGTTTGGACCTGAGTGGCGAGTCGTCGTGCGGCGATGGTGTAGTGATGTTAGCTCTGCGATGTTTGCCAGCGTACTTTCGCCCACCAGAAATACAAGAATCGCCACAAGTGCCTGGCCGAGAGGGGGAGGCCCATATCTGAGCAGTCCGGCAGCCGACTATGTAATGCGTGCGGGAGATGGTTCTTGAGCGCTGGCGGGCTAGCTTCGCAGAAGTGTCTCTCCAACTCGGCTGCTGAAGTAGCGTCGGTCTCGGCTGTGGCATCGGCAGACTCGGTCCGGAAACAGCGGGTTGCTCTGCCCTGCTGCAGAGCGCATTGTCTCGGCTGCGGTCGCTGCTGCAAGTCATCCCGTGGTTTCGACCTGCATAGCTGTGCTAATTTCCTGTCCAGGAAGTAGAGCGGCGTTTCTGGGTCCAATGCTGAACTCAGTGCTGTTGACCCCTGCACAGGGGACACGTGACCATTTGATGGCAGTGTTACCAAGGACCAAGGTGTGCGTGTGTGTGTGAGTGTGTGTGTGTGTGTGTTTGTGTGTTTCTGTGTGTGTTTGTGTGTGTGTGTGTGTGTGTGTGTGTGTGTGTGTGTGTGTGTGTAGGTGTGTGTGTGTGTGTAGGTGTGTGTGTGTGTGTGTGTGCGTGCGTGCGTGCGTGCGTGCGTGCGTGCGTGCGTGTGTGTGTGTGTGTGCTGTAAGTCACGATGGATGGAGTTATAAAATTAATCATTCCATCCTTCCAAGAAAACGTCTGCTGACTGTCGGCCGAAGACTGGACAAGTGCCGGTCAAAGGCCGAACTAGCAGCTAGGAGTGAGTTTCTTCGGTATTCGCCTCCGTCCTGTGTTTCTGGCGTCTACTTCTGGCGTCTACTTCGAATGACTCGAAAGGAACAGCTAGATCTGAAAGTTAGACTCAGGTGGAGAGACAAGGATTAATTTATAAGAAGAAATGTTGCTATGCGTCCATGAATTGTGGTTGGACGGTTTGGTCTCGTGGTCTTGCCAGTATCATATTGGCGGATTGCCAGGTAGGTGTAGAATGTCAGTACCGTTGGTCAGCGTTGTGCAATGTTATTGCATGAGCTGGCTGTAAAATAACTGGTGTTAGCCTCCATCATAGCGTAACTTGAAGTTCATTAATCCTTATTTCTTTTTAAAACTTCACTTCCAAACTCCAAAAACGATCTCTTCCCTGCGATTTCAATAAAAATTAAGATTAACATTAAACCAAATTTTCGGGACTGGCCCATCATTAGGGTTATGAATGACAAAAAATCATCCATTGCATAGGTACTTATTGAACTACATGTATGAAGACAACAACGAATGACACTGACAAAGTTAACTTGAATTTGAATCGCAGTGAAGAGACCGTTTTGGAATTGAGAAATGAAGTTTAAAATGTGTTAGTGGCTGTGCTGGAGTTTGCGGACAATAGATGACTTGCACAAAGATTGTCTGGGTTCGAGATGGGGCAAGTGGACCTTCTGCTCTGAGTGACTTTCCGACCTTTTGAGTTTGAAAGTATCGCTTTTCGCCTCAGGCTGATGACACTGAGCTAGCTTTTTGGCTATAGAGTTGTTTTGCTTTGGCTTGTATTGTCATGCCGAGGCGCTGCTGCGCTCCTGAGTGCACAATCCAACGAGAGATGGAACTGAGGGCAGAGGCTCCCATTCCATGTGTTACGAGATCCCTCCAATAGGCGTCAGCCTTTGGGTAATCCTGAAATATAGATTATTATATTAATATTAATATCTCAGTACTCTTGTCAGTTTTGTGCCTAGTTATTGCACTTTCTGACTGTATTATAATATCCAGTTACAGTGATGGAGAGTTACTCTTAACTCGTATCCTTATGTCTTTTTCCTTTCTACATTTATTTATGGCTCACCCTCCAAATTTCATATTCGTATCATTATTCTTTTCCGAACCGTAACGCAGAAAAATTCATTCATACCATAGCGAGATGAGCTTGAATGAGGGAATTTTTAGTATCATTGGAAATAGTGTAGCCACAGGGTGCAGCAAGCAATTCCTGGTCCTGAAATTTGACTACATGTACTTTCCCACAATGGAAGCGGAGTCAAGCACAACCGAAGTTGGTCGACGTCTGAGAAAGAACTCGATTCAGTTTTATTTCTGCACTACCTCCAGAGCGACCCTCTCGCGAGGACAGACTGCGGAGAGGCCAGAAACCTGCCGAGTCGCGAGCGGAGGTCCAAACTACGGAAATGAAGAGTAGAGGGACCTCACGTGAGAGGCAGATGATCTTTTCTCTTAGTAGTGCTGTATCCTATTTGAAGGAGAGAACAAGTAAGCTGGAGAAACATTGCGAAGTCCTTAGGCCTGAATTAGTGCCAGCTCTTGTTGAAGTCTCACTTGTTCCGATATGTACATTTTCTCAGCCCTGAATCCGAGCAACTGTACCTAGACTGGACTTAGCCCAGAGACATGGTATTGTAGACCTTAGGCCATGGTAGGCCATGGTCGTAGTGGTCATACCTCATGTTACGCCCCTGCATTCCTTCACTTGCTATTCGTTCCTTATCTACCCAAACTCAGGAGCTCTCAATTGGCGAAACAGGTGTCTGGAGGATGTGGAACATCTATCCAACAGAATTTCCTCGATATGGTGTGTTGAAATGGGCAAAGATTGCAGTGTGGAGAGAGGGACAGTTCGAGCTCTACATCATTTGCTCTATTTGTGATGTGAGTGAGCATATAGTTTTTAATTAATCTTGGCATTATTGCAACTATTGTCGCCAAATCACCTGTTCACATCTTGAGATATTAACTGCACCAATGATGAAGTAAAACAAAGTAAAGCGAACTGGCAAACAAACAAAGACAAAGCGAAAGAAATGACTTACGGCACGGCTCCCGAAATTCACAGAAGTAGGAAAATTTCGAGTTTGCGCCATACCACTTTTCGTCAGATGCCCTCCTATTGGTACCTGTGGGCAAGCTCTTCACCCAGAGAGGTGGACGGGTAGTTCGGCTGATTTTTGCAACATGCGTCACCGTGCAATTGGAGTATAGCGTGCTGAGGCTTAAAATATCAGAATCGGTGGCAGAAACCGGCGCCAGGTGCTGACAATCCTGTTCTGCTGCTTCGTACGTGGTATAAATGGGTTGTGCCCGGCTAGCAATCCATGAACAAGTGCTCGGACAATACGTTTCCAAAATGCCTGAAAAAGAAAAAATAGAAATCCAATACTCCGAGGTTGAGCCAATATTTCTTATTTAAGGAGAAAAGGACATATAAGTTACTAGTTATGACTAACAGTCCACCAAAGTAACGAGATATTATTATAATTATGGGCCACAACCAGCTAAAACATGTCTCATAGGCAAATTTTTCAAATTTTGTTTTCCTCCAGATAACAGTTTTGGACCTCTTGACGGTGGTGCAGGGCACGAAAGTAGTCTAAAAGTAGCCCAAACACCTATTTCAAAATATACTTTGAAATAGAAAATGACAGTTTTCGTACATTCTGACACACAGACAAACTTCGTTGCTTTTGTGGAGAAGCACAATACAGAGGAACTAGATATGATGACACAGACTTGAGCATTAGCGACATCAGTTCCGAGTCATGGACCAAGTTCTTCCTGGAAAGCATCACGATGCCCTGGGCGGAGTTGCAGTTGCATACTCTTTCGATTCTGGCAGTGACACTGATTCAGCTTCGCTGTCGACATCAACATCACTGAGATCCCAAAGATTGTCATCGTCGCTCTGCAGACCCGCCGTCACGGAAATGCTGATACCCGACCAAACCTGCGCTGTACACAGCGATCGTCTGGCCCTGCAAGCCGCTCTAGTGTCACTAGATACGAACATTGTCAGTCTTTTCTCGCCAACTACTTGAACTACACCGCCAAACTAGTGTTTGAACAAATTTTGAGAAGATGATCGCCACCGGGCCATGCATGAGGCGCAGCGTGAACGAGCTCGACAAACATGTTTTCATTCCGCCATTTCTCAACTTTTTTTTTACGAAACCCCAAAGACATGGTTTAGTTGATCGCGGCCCATATAGTAAGATAATGCAACAAGGCACTGTTCCAAAAAAAATTGCTTTATTTTGGTGCGGGAGGGCCCGGGAATTTGTCCGAGAATACACGACTGATGTTAGGAGAAGTCTATTATAAAACAAAAAAAGGATAAAAAGGGTCAGAACCAAAACCGGGAACATGTGTCAATGATTTTTCTTGATGATCTGAAATATAGTTCCCTTTGGGCTTTCCTACTTCATTGATTTTGCTGCCAAGGCTGTGCGAGGGCTACGGACATCCCTGCGGGCTGATATTTCCAGCCATGCCAGGCATGGTTTTTGAATGTGTGTTCAGCAGATTGGTATCAATGTAGGACATGTTTGTGAAGGGTTAAGGTGGTTCACATTCAAATCTAAAGTAAATCACAGAGAAACTAGTTATATTGCAGCCACAGTAATGTCAAAAACAGTAGTTTACAAAAAAAATGAGGTCATCCTATTTCACCCACTTAGGGCCAAAGACGTATATTTTTCAATTCCAAATAAGGAGTGCAACATACAAATGCCTCACCGATGCATTGTGAGCCATTTTCTCTATATCCAGTATTGCATGGACACGAGTAACTGCCGTCGCTGTTTAAACAGTTCGAATTCTGGGGGCAAACAAATCCTGGTGTGATACATTCATTGACATCTGAGACAAACCAAGTTGGCAAGAAAGTGTGAGTGTGAGCAAACAAATTTCAAACACAGTAGCCATTTCCCTCTAAATCAATTCACTGTTTAGGGTGCAATGGCCAACAAGTATGAATTATGATAATAATATACAGTTGACATTCAGCCCAGTATTGGCATCACCCATCAGGTTAACGCCTCTGACGGTAAAAGAGAAAAAGAATCGAAACGTATTATTATGGCATGGTTGGAAGGGCAATAATGAATTTTCAATGCCCGAGAGGTGAGCCCGAAGGCCGTGGGCATACAGAGTCAGTGGCGGTTCTGGGAACATTAGGCGTACAGATGATCGTGGCTCGTTGCTGAGCAGACTGAATGGGATATTTTGCCGAAATTGAACTGGTGATTGAAAATCGTGTAACATTGATGGGAGGCGATTGAAATAATGGAGAGATTTATACAGAGGGGGCAGTTGGAAAATAGCAAGTCTGAGCGATCCGCAAACTGTGGCCTGTATTAACTAAAAGAGTCGATTTCTCAACGTACCTATCATTCTTCATTCTTATACAGTACAATAACTCACCAGAACATGAAGGTTGGGCCAGATTGCCATATGCTGTGCAGCTTGATGTCTTTGTGCCAATCAGATTGTAGCCCTTGTTGCAGGTAAAGGTCACAGAGTCTGGATATTGGATCTTCCCAAGTTGGCTTGAGGCCCCGTTCTTCAATGGTTGCACTGAACACGTCACAGCTGGAAAACCTGGTAAAGAAATGATATACCTTCATCAAAAACTTGCACCCTAGCGTTTGGTGTCTCTCACTTAATTAAAATTTTAACCTAACAGTAAATTCTGCTGGTCCTGTACAAACCCTCTAAAAATTTTCCTTAGCAACATTTTTCGTCAACAACTCACTCTATTTACCGGTAATTGCAATTCACTTCTTGGCGCATGCGCTGGATGAATTTTTTTATATTCGTGATGTCGAAAATGATTGACGTTTCGGGCCACTGAGGCCAGTCACCCATCGTCAGAACAATTAACAAGGGGCGAACCTGGCCTTTTATAACGAAAGCAAGCGAGAGCGTATGTATGTCCATGCACAAAACAAACGAAACGCACAATAGCCGTATGAATTTGCATGTACAAGAGAAAAGGGGAAGTGCGCTGAAAGAGTGGGTATGTAGCAACTTGGGGAGCTCCCTCTGAACCTCAGCATTGCGAAAGCGGATCATGCCAAGTGCTGGTGGGTTGTGTTGCTTGGCTCTTGGAAGGCTGGATGGGTCAATGTCATTGTCTCCAAGACTGAATTTCTGTGAGAAGAAATTCCCAAAACATTTCAACTTGTCCTTCGCGTTGCGGTGCTCTCTGCTGTTCTCATCAATGAGTGTGGGAATATCAGACTGGTGTCCAAAACCACCTGCACGCTTAATGGTACTCCACCATTCCTTGTCTTTGAGACCGCCAGTTGTAAGCTTAGTGCGAAGTGTAATCTGTTCGCCAGCTTGTGCTCTTGCCATTGTGCGAATATTCTGTGTCACGGCATCGGAATACATACGTTGTGACTATTGTTAGCCTGGATAACGCTACCACGCCTTCCAAGCTTGTTGCTTTGCGGCGACAACAGCATTGCATTCAGGTGTCCACCAAGTCGGATTCAATGGGCGTGTGATAAGTTGCTCACATTGTACCCCATCGTAACCCCACCCCCCCCCCTGCAATGTATTGGTTTCCTTACTTGCTAGACTGATTTTTTTATGATTCTGGACTGATTTGAATCACATTATCTTCCTTATTGGCCATGGGCCATTGTGGAAATAAAGAATAATTAATGCTGGATGAGCTGATGCCGAGCAGTCACCTCTTCCATGCACCACAAGAAGTACTCGCCGGCTGAAGTTGTCTCCATGTGTACAAGCCACCTGGCATTGAGCACATTGAAGTCCCCTGCGAGGATGGTGTGAGCAGCGCTGTGTCGCACAAGGTCGATTGTGGTGTCCAGGTACTCTATGAGGGAGACGTCTAAGTCGCTACTGGACCCAGGGCGGTAGACAGCTCCAATAACCGTTTTCAGGTCTGTGTGTTCAAAACAGTAAGCCAGATTTTTTTTCTTTTATTTTCCATCGGAAGCCTCAACAGTGATGAACACAACTCTTAAGAGGGCCGATAACAGAGTAGAGGGGTGTGGGGTGAGAAAAAATAATAATAATAATAAGAGATATTTAAACTAAACTAAACTGATACTTGGAACAATAAAGCAGCAGTAAGCAGTAAGCAGTAAACACAGGTATACAATACAAGCGATGCAGATCAATGAGGCCGTTTGCTGAAAAGAAGATCAAAATACTTCTGAAAAGACGCTGCGTCTTTAAGCATGGTCATAATGGGATAATGCAAGAATTAAAGAGATGTTTTTTAAAACGAATTTAAACTAGGAACGCAGTAAACACAGTTATACAATACAGGCGGTGCAGATCAATGAGGGAGTTTGCTGAAAAGAAGATCAAAATACTTCTGAAAAGACGCTGCGTCTTTGTCTCCAGATGACCTCATGAGCGTCGGATTGGTATCTCTCCAAGTGCTGATAAACGAGCCCCTGCTTCAGCCAGACAGCAATTCCGCCACCATTGGCATGCGTTCTTTTTCGTTCCTGGCGGCAGACAGATGGAATGCTCTTCCCATTGACTGCCGTCCGGCCCCGTCTCTTACCCTGTATGTAAACATGGTAAAAATTCACCTAGGGTTTCCAGGAAAAAGGCAACGCCTGTTGGGACTCCCCTAGTAAAATAATAAAATATACTACTACTCCTACTACTCGCAATTCTGTCCCGGCAGATAGGTCAGGAGTAGCCTGGGATGGCTGCCTCCACTTGTGTGCATTTGTCTGAGGTAAGCTTCGACGCTGTAACGATGGAAATATCCACCGCTCGCTGGAGGAGTGGATGACGAAGTTCGCCAAACTTGGAGTAAACTCCACACGCATTGTGGAGTTGTGTGCCCGACCTGCTCGCAGAGGTTCACACGTCTCCAGTACCTGGTTCAACACAAATGCAAGAAGTAACTCTGCCCTCCTTGCCTCTTTGAGGCACTGCATCACCTTTAGGTGGCAGTTTCAAGGTTCAAGGTTCAAGGTGTGTGTGTGTGTCTGGGTGTGTATACAGTCCAGCAGTCGTCCGCTCTACTCCATTGTTTCCTCTGTTTTGCCAGTTCTGCTAGCTGATTCTCTTTATTTGCCATTGCCCCTCATAGTGCTCATGCTTGGGTTGAGGGCGACGTGACCCGTTTAATGTAGCTGTATCATAGTAATGTGTGTGTGTGTTTGTGTGTGTGTGTGTTTGTGTGTGTGTGTGTGTGTGTGTAAAAATTCGCGGAGAGGAAGCAGATTTGTTAGCTCCTGGTTTTCTCTTTGTTGGCCTCCTCCACGGGGCGGCCTTGGCCTTCTGGTCAGGGTCGTCCCTGGGTATTGACTGGCAGTAGGCTTTTCATGCCTTGCAGCCGGTTTCGCTCGCGCGGAAGGACATTCAGTGAGCTGACGACCAGGGCGGGTAATTTGTTGCCGTCATCGTCTTCTTGCGTCCTTTCGGCTTCCTCCGCAGTGGCGTGGCGAGCCCTCGGATCAATCCCCAGCCTGTAACAATGCAGTGGCGTTCGGCAAAACAAGTGGATTCCTGGATGAAAAAGGATACAGGTCACACTCGCAACAATTTATTCCTGAGCGGTGATAGCTGGAATTGTGAATTTGTCGTGTTGTTTGGACCTGAGTGGCGAGTCGTCGTGCGGCGATGGTGTAGTGATGTTAGCTTGCTGCGCATACTCCTTGTCGTTTCGTGAAAGTACGTCTTGTGGAGCCCTTCAGGGACGTTTGATGCCCACCCTCCAGCTCAAGATTGGGCTTTCCTGGTGCATGAAGGCCGAAGCAGTACGCGTACGGACGTTATTGTTGAACAGAACATCATGTTCACATTTATTTTGTTCCTTTTTCAGTCGTTGCATGTTATACTTATAGTGGACCTACATCAGACTGTTCATCTGGTTTGTGATATTTCCTTCCTCTGTTTGTGAGTCCCTTTCCATCACTATGGCAGCTTGTTTTGATTTCCTTTTTTCAATTCATTTTGCTGTACTTCCTGTTTTGTTTGCGCCACTGCCCCTCACCTTGCGCTCAGTTCTCTGAGTGGAGGGCGGTGTGACCCCAAGGGGTAGCTGATTGATAGTAGTAGTAGTAGCAGTAGTAGTAGTAGTAGTAGTAGTAGTAGTAGTAGTAGTAGTAGTAGTAGTAGTAGTAGTAGTAGTAGTAGTAGTAGTAGTAGTAGTAGTAGTAGTAGTAGTAGTAGTAGTAGTAGTAGTAGTAGTAGTAGTAGTAGTAGTAGTAGTAGTAGTAGTAGTAGTAGTAGTAGTAGTAGTAGTAGTAGTAGTAGTAGTAGTAGTAGTAGTAGTAGTAGTAGTAGTAGTAGTAGTAGTAGTAGTAGTAGTAGTAGTAGTAGTAGTAGTAGTAGTAGTAGTAGTAGTAGTAGTAGTAGTAGTAGTAGTAGTAGTAGTAGTAGTAGTAGTAGTAGTAGTAGTAGTAGTAGTAGTAGTAGTAGTAGTAGTAGTAGTAGTAGTAGTAGTAGTAGTAGTAGTAGTAGTAGTAGTAGTAGTAGTAGTAGTAGTAGTAGTAGTAGTAGTAGTAGTAGTAGTAGTAGTAGTAGTAGTAGTAGTAGTAGTAGTAGTAGTAGTAGTAGTAGTAGTAGTAGTAGTAGTAGTAGTAGTAGTAGTAGTAGTAGTAGTAGTAGTAGTAGTAGTAGTAGTAGTAGTAGTAGTAGTAGTAGTAGTAGTAGTAGTAGTAGTAGTAGTAGTAGTAGTAGTAGTAGTAGTAGTAGTAGTAGTAGTAGTAGTAGTAGTAGTAGTAGTAGTAGTAGTAGTAGTAGTAGTAGTAGTAGTAGTAGTAGTAGTAGTAGTAGTAGTAGTAGTAGTAGTAGTAGTAGTAGTAGTAGTAGTAGTAGTAGTAGTAGTAGTAGTAGTAGTAGTAGTAGTAGTAGTAGTAGTAGTAGTAGTAGTAGTAGTAGTAGTAGTAGTAGTAGTAGTAGTAGTAGTAGTAGTAGTAGTAGTAGTAGTAGTAGTAGTAGTAGTAGTAGTAGTAGTAGTAGTAGTAGTAGTAGTAGTAGTAGTAGTAGTAGTAGTAGTAGTAGTAGTAGTAGTAGTAGTAGTAGTAGTAGTAGTAGTAGTAGTAGTAGTAGTAGTAGTAGTAGTAGTAGTAGTAGTAGTAGTAGTAGTAGTAGTAGTAGTAGTAGTAGTAGTAGTAGTAGTAGTAGTAGTAGTAGTAGTAGTAGTAGTAGTAGTAGTAGTAGTAGTAGTAGTAGTAGTAGTAGTAGTAGTAGTAGTAGTAGTAGTAGTAGTAGTAGTAGTAGTAGTAGTAGTAGTAGTAGTAGTAGTAGTAGTAGTAGTAGTAGTAGTAGTAGTAGTAGTAGTAGTAGTAGTAGTAGTAGTAGTAGTAGTAGTAGTAGTAGTAGTAGTAGTAGTAGTAGTAGTAGTAGTAGTAGTAGTAGTAGTAGTAGTAGTAGTAGTAGTAGTAGTAGTAGTAGTAGTAGTAGTAGTAGTAGTAGTAGTAGTAGTAGTAGTAGTAGTAGTAGTAGTAGTAGTAGTAGTAGTAGTAGTAGTAGTAGTAGTAGTAGTAGTAGTAGTAGTAGTAGTAGTAGTAGTAGTAGTAGTAGTAGTAGTAGTAGTAGTAGTAGTAGTAGTAGTAGTAGTAGTAGTAGTAGTAGTAGTAGTAGTAGTAGTAGTAGTAGTAGTAGTAGTAGTAGTAGTAGTAGTAGTAGTAGTAGTAGTAGTAGTAGTAGTAGTAGTAGTAGTAGTAGTAGTAGTAGTAGTAGTAGTAGTAGTAGTAGTAGTAGTAGTAGTAGTAGTAGTAGTAGTAGTAGTAGTAGTAGTAGTAGTAGTAGTAGTAGTAGTAGTAGTAGTAGTAGTAGTAGTAGTAGTAGTAGTAGTAGTAGTAGTAGTAGTAGTAGTAGTAGTAGTAGTAGTAGTAGTAGTAGTAGTAGTAGTAGTAGTAGTAGTAGTAGTAGTAGTAGTAGTAGTAGTAGTAGTAGTAGTAGTAGTAGTAGTAGTAGTAGTAGTAGTAGTAGTAGTAGTAGTAGTAGTAGTAGTAGTAGTAGTAGTAGTAGTAGTAGTAGTAGTAGTAGTAGTAGTAGTAGTAGTAGTAGTAGTAGTAGTAGTAGTAGTAGTAGTAGTAGTAGTAGTAGTAGTCACATCCTTTATTGCTGAACCCACAAATAATTGTGATACAAATTGTAAACTATCCGAGGAAGAAGAGAAAGCCATTAAAAATAAAAAATAAAACAAAAAAGGTTATTGTACCATGCCAAACGGCTATTACTAAGTCATGTACCAATTGTAATACATGACGTAGTATAGTAGTCAAGCACCTACAAAATACTTTGCAGGATAATATTTAAATTGCCTAGCATGCCTACAAATCCGCAGAGCATGCCAATGTTAAATAGGCCAACATATGAATGAATACCGAAGGCGGTTACCTGGACAGAAGGCGACATTGGTCGAGAAAAGATGGGCCTATTCTCTTCCTCAAGTAAGACGCTCTGCAACCACGGAGGCACGTGATTGACCATCTCTGCAAAACAAATGCAAACAAAAGTAGTAGTAGTAGTAGTAGTAGTAGTAGTAGTAGTAGTAGTAGTAGTAGTAGTAGTAGTAGTAGTAGTAGTAGTAGTAGTAGTAGTAGTAGTAGTAGTAGTAGTAGTAGTAGTAGTAGTAGTAGTAGTAGTAGTAGTAGTAGTAGTAGTAGTAGTAGTAGTAGTAGTAGTAGTAGTAGTAGTAGTAGTAGTAGTAGTAGTAGTAGTAGTAGTAGTAGTAGTAGTAGTAGTAGTAGTAGTAGTAGTAGTAGTAGTAGTAGTAGTAGTAGTAGTAGTAGTAGTAGTAGTAGTAGTAGTAGTAGTAGTAGTAGTAGTAGTAGTAGTAGTAGTAGTAGTAGTAGTAGTAGTAGTAGTAGTAGTAGTAGTAGTAGTAGTAGTAGTAGTAGTAGTAGTAGTAGTAGTAGTAGTAGTAGTAGTAGTAGTAGTAGTAGTAGTAGTAGTAGTAGTAGTAGTAGTAGTAGTAGTAGTAGTAGTAGTAGTAGTAGTAGTAGGCTTACTTAGGTCCCTGTGGCAGAGAACTTGATCTGGGCACACTAGGAATATGGCATTGAATATGGACATCGACCTCGCCTTGCTGACTTTCGAAGAGCTGCGGCATCTTGCCAAACAACATCCTATTGACGGAGCCGAGTCAAAGAGCCGAGTTGATCTTGTGGTTTCCCTAAGACAAGCTGGGGTGGGTGTAACCCCGATCAAGGCAAATGAGGTCAGTACTAGTAGTAGTCTGAAATCTCTAAACGAGCTTGTATGTGTGGTGATAGAGCTAAGAGAGCAACTTGAGCAAGCGAAGCATGATAATGCCATTGTTTCTTCACTTCGGGATGAGGTTTCCAGCCTAAAATTGGAAGTACTAGAGCTGAGGAACTTCACTACAGGCGCACTTTCTCAAACTGCCAATGACACCCACAACCGTCGCACCAGTGCTAACGAAGTTACCGTAGAGCCCTCCCTGTATGAAACTGACACATCCATCACCACTGCACCGCAATCACAGCACACCAGAAAGCAATCGTATGCAGCTACTGCCCGCCCATCAACCTGCACCCAACCACAATGTACGCACACAGCAGACACACGCTCACCAAATGCACATGTTGCACCGTACAGCACTATGGACCCTTACGCACATTCAACCAGAAAGGTCATGGGTGCACCGGATCAGCAGCAGACCATGCCTACGCGACCAAACCCCCAGCTTGATTCAGACTGGCAACAACAAGAAACCAGGCGCGAACGTCGTGCCCGTACTCAACAGGAACGCGACAGACAGGGCCCACTTTCACATGGCGCCAGCACCCCTGCAGAGATAGGGGAAGATCCAAAGAGTACGGAACCCGCACTTAGGCGCACTATCACCTCCAGCTACAAAAAACCCCGCCCCCCTGCTCCAGGGAAGTCGCAGCTCTGTGGCGTCCAGCCCGTCAAATATGCAGCTCTATATGTGGGAGGGATTAATCCTGGCTGCCACGCAGATGGAATCGTACATTGGTGCAGGGATCGGGACGTTGAGGTCGTATCATGCAACAGGGATCGGGACGTTGAGGTCGTATCATGCAACATTTCAGAATCCAAATACTTTGGCACCGCTTTTGCACATGTGCTGATAGACGCAAAGGACATGGATACAGTCAGCAAACCCGACTTCTGGCCGTCAAACGTCTCTGCCCGACCCTGGAGATTCAAATCCGATGATGATCGCACTTCAGGCAGAGAAGACCAGCGTCGCTACTCAACGGACGAGAAACAATGACTGAAGTCAGATCAAATCTAAATCCTCTTGCCCAACCCTTTGTGCCCCACGCAAGTTCTTCACACCCTTCCCCTCATTGCATTACATATTCTTCTATATCTATTGGTCATATTAATATTTGTAGTTTGCGAAATAAGCTTTTCGTGTTGTCCAAGCTTGTCCGGGTCCATAACTTAGACATTTTAGCAGTATCAGAAACATGGCTCGACAACAGCATCTCGGACTCAGAAGTCGACATCCGGGGGTTCTCAATGCACCGTCTCGACAGAAAGTGCAATTACAACTGCTCCTGTACAAATGGAACACCTTGCCAAAAGCGCGGCGGTGTAGTGATTTACAGCAGGTTGCAACTTGGGTTTAAGCGGATGTTGATTCAGCACATCGACCTGGAAATGGTTTGGTTGCGTTCCAAAAAACGAGAAGCAGGTGAATCATTCCTCATTGGCTGTCTCTACAGGCCACCGTCCGCACCGGCGGCTTTTTGGCAATCTTTACAGCAAGTCATGTATGACATTCAGGGCGAAGATCTCATTCTGATGGGCGACTTAAATGTTGATTTCTTGTCCCCTCAAACGCATCATTTTGACAATTTGAACACATACCTGCTACTTCCCCTTGATCTGAAGAATATGATTACGCACCCTACACGGATCACACCTACATCTAAAACACTTCTCGACTGTGTACTAACGAACATGGATTGTGTTGAGCACGGAAGCGTTCACTCCTGTGAGTTCACCGATCATGAGTTTGTTCACACCAGTATTATTTTTCCGAAGTCAATTCCAACACAAGGACAAATATATCGATCCCGCCGCCGTGATTACAGTAAGGCCTCTGCCTCTGATCTCTCTCATTTATTGTCAATTTCTGATCTCGGATCCTTCTCGTCCCCGTCGGTCAATGTAATGCTAGAAGAGTGGCAAGGAAAATTTGAAGACGCCTTGGATGTGGTTGCACCCTACATAATATCACGGAGACAATCCCCTGGAAAAAGGAAGAAGTGCCCATTCATGACACCGGAATTACTAGCTCTCATTAGGCGACGTAAAACCGTCTACAGAAAGTACCGCTCGTCTGACTGCAGTAGTACGGTTCTACAGAAGGAGTTCAAAGTTTTGCGCAGCAAATGCAATAACCTTTATCGCCAACTCCGAAATGCCCACTTCCGCTCCATCTGTGACGATTACCGGCGAGATCCTAGGCGTCTTTGGAGCACCATCAACTCAGTCACCCGGCGCACAAACCCTAGAACTGAGCCTCTCGTCCAGGCAGATACCTTGAACAGGTATTTCCATAGTATTGTGTCAGATCCGAACCCGGCTTATGTTGTTCCAAGTGGTACCTCAAGACCGTGTGACTTGCACGAGTTTCGCCCTATTTCTGAGGATGAGGTACTTCGGCACCTTCAGAAACTCGACGGTACGAAAGCGCCTGGGCCAGATGGTCTCCTCCCGAGCATCCTGAAGGCCGTTGCACCAGTTATCGCCTTCTCCCTCACCCTAATATTTAATACCTCTTTGTGCACTGCTGTGTTCCCGACACAATTCAAGTTGGCTAATGTCACGCCGATATTGAAATCCCGTATGGGCGATCCTACTTCTCCTTCGAACTATCGTCCTGTGTCACTCACGTCGATTCTGGCTAAGACTCTGGAACGCCTGGTTCTAAATCAGGTATGTGACAGTTTGACCATCGAAAATCACCTCCACGATCACCAATTTGGGTTCCGACCAGCTCGTTCCACGACACAACTGCTCACACTTGCTGTAAATGATTGGAAACTGGCCCAGGACCGCGGAGAGACTACCAGTGTAGCCTTTGTCGACCTCAGCAAGGCGTTTGATCGCGTCCAGCATCAACAGTTACTCATTGCGCTCCATGGCATGGGTGTTCATGCAAGCGCCCTGCGTTGGTTTGCGTCGTACCTCGCCGGGAGATCTCAGCGTGTCGTCACGCCAGCCAGCCAGTCCTCAAGTCTTGCAGTGTCTCGAGGAGTTCCTCAGGGAAGTATTTTAGGCCCTACCCTCTTTAATGTCTACCTGAGGGACCTTCCCCGGCTTGCGGAGACAGCGGGTTCAAAATTACTGATGTTCGCAGATGACAAGACAGTCTACTCTAGTGATCCGTCGAAGGCGCGTTCCGAAGCCAAGTTGTCATCGGCACTGGAGATACTAAACAACCACCTTGGCTCCATTGGTATGCAGATAAATACCGACAAAACCGTTGTCATGCAAATCCATCCCAAACGTGCCACAGGGAGTCAGCAACAACAACAAAGGCAACAACTGCAAATCACCTTGTCAAATGTTACGCTAGGGGAAGTGGAAAGCACCAGATGCTTAGGAGTCGTTGTTGACAATAAGCTATCTTTTGACCAACACATTAACAATGTCGTCCGGAAAGCCTCACGGAAGATCGGTGTACTGCGTCGTGCCCGCCGTACTTTCGTTGTCGGTGTTATTCAGCCTGATCTAGAATATGCTCTCCCTGTATACCTTTCGTTTATATCCGCTAAAAATAGAAACAAGCTAGCCTCACTCCACCGGCGCGCTGTACGAGTTGCTTGTGGTGCATCACCCCAAGCTAATATCACGCCACTTCTTCACCACCTCAATGTTTCCTCTTTCCAATATCGATCAGTATTTTTGTTCCTTGTATTCATTTTCCACTGTTACTGTATTAAGCCGGCTGTTTGCTTGCAGTCCCTCTTTCCCATCTGTACGTCTACCCGAACTACTCGCGGCTCTACAACTCATAACATGAGTATCAATCGCTATAGATCTATGTCTGGCTTTCTGTCCTTTTCAAGTAAATCGGCTCTTGTTTGGAATTATTTACCAGACGACCTGAAGTCCTGCACTACTATCGCAGATTTCCGCGTCAAATTGGCTATTTGGCTAAAAGACAGCTTAACTCTTAATCATTGTTGTGATTTGCTTTCAAGCAATGTGCATAATCAGTAACTTGATGTTGCTGTTTTTGTTTTTTTTTTGGTTTTTTTTTGGTTTCCCGTTCTCGGGGCCTTCTATTCGGTACTCTTTGTAGTTGTACTTCTGTACTGTTGAGCTATCCGAATTCAAATAAACATTAAAAAAAAAAAAAAAAAAAAAAAGTAGTAGTAGTAGTAGTAGTAGTAGTAGTAGTAGTAGTAGTAGTAGTAGTAGTAGTAGTAGTAGTAGTAGTAGTAGTAGTAGTAGTAGTAGTAGTAGTAGTAGTAGTAGTAGTAGTAGTAGTAGTAGTAGTAGTAGTAGTAGTAGTAGTAGTAGTAGTAGTAGTAGTAGTAGTAGTAGTAGTAGTAGTAGTAGTAGTAGTAGTAGTAGTAGTAGTAGTAGTAGTAGTAGTAGTAGTAGTAGTAGTAGTAGTAGTAGTAGTAGTAGTAGTAGTAGTAGTAGTAGTAGTAGTAGTAGTAGTAGTAGTAGTAGTAGTAGTAGTAGTAGTAGTAGTAGTAGTAGTAGTAGTAGTAGTAGTAGTAGTAGTAGTAGTAGTAGTAGTAGTAGTAGTAGTAGTAGTAGTAGTAGTAGTAGTAGTAGTAGTAGTAGTAGTAGTAGTAGTAGTAGTAGTAGTAGTAGTAGTAGTAGTAGTAGTAGTAGTAGTAGTAGTAGTAGTAGTAGTAGTAGTAGTAGTAGTAGTAGTAGTAGTAGTAGTAGTAGTAGTAGTAGTAGTAGTAGTAGTAGTAGTAGTAGTAGTAGTAGTAGTAGTAGTAGTAGTAGTAGTAGTAGTAGTAGTAGTAGTAGTAGTAGTAGTAGTAGTAGTAGTAGTAGTAGTAGTAGTAGTAGTAGTAGTAGTAGTAGTAGTAGTAGTAGTAGTAGTAGTAGTAGTAGTAGTAGTAGTAGTAGTAGTAGTAGTAGTAGTAGTAGTAGTAGTAGTAGTAGTAGTAGTAGTAGTAGTAGTAGTAGTAGTAGTAGTAGTAGTAGTAGTAGTAGTAGTAGTAGTAGTAGTAGTAGTAGTAGTAGTAGTAGTAGTAGTAGTAGTAGTAGTAGTAGTAGTAGTAGTAGTAGTAGTAGTAGTAGTAGTAGTAGTAGTAGTAGTAGTAGTAGTAGTAGTAGTAGTAGTAGTAGTAGTAGTAGTAGTAGTAGTAGTAGTAGTAGTAGTAGTAGTAGTAGTAGTAGTAGTAGTAGTAGTAGTAGTAGTAGTAGTAGTAGTAGTAGTAGTAGTAGTAGTAGTAGTAGTAGTAGTAGTAGTAGTAGTAGTAGTAGTAGTAGTAGTAGTAGTAGTAGTAGTAGTAGTAGTAGTAGTAGTAGTAGTAGTAGTAGTAGTAGTAGTAGTAGTAGTAGTAGTAGTAGTAGTAGTAGTAGTAGTAGTAGTAGTAGTAGTAGTAGTAGTAGTAGTAGTAGTAGTAGTAGTAGTAGTAGTAGTAGTAGTAGTAGTAGTAGTAGTAGTAGTAGTAGTAGTAGTAGTAGTAGTAGTAGTAGTAGTAGTAGTAGTAGTAGTAGTAGTAGTAGTAGTAGTAGTAGTAGTAGTAGTAGTAGTAGTAGTAGTAGTAGTAGTAGTAGTAGTAGTAGTAGTAGTTGTGGTTGGACGGTTTGGTCTCGTGGTCTTGCCAGTATCATATTGGCGGATTGCCAGGTAGGTGTAGAATGTCAGTACCGTTGGTCAGCGTTGTGCAATGTTATTGCATGAGCTGGTTGTAAAATAACTGGTGTTAGCCTCCATCATAGCGTAACTTGTAGTTCATTAATCCTTATTTCTTTTTAAAACTTCACTTCCAAACTCCAAAAACGATCTCTTCCCTGCGATTACAATAAAAATTAAGATTAACATTACACCAAATTTTCGGGTCTGGCCCATCATTAGGGTATTAAATGACAACAAAATCATCCATTTGCATAGGTACTTATTGAACTACATGTATGAAGTCAACAACGAATGACACTGACAAAGTTAACTTGAATTTGAATCGCAGTGAAGAGACCGTTTTGGAATTGAGAAGTGAAGTTTAAAATGTGTTAGTGGCTGTGCTGGAGTTTGCGGACAATAGAAGACTTGCACAAAGATTGTCTGGGTTTGAGATGGGGCAAGTGGACCTTCCGCTCTGAGTGACTTTCCGACCTTTTGAGTTTGAAAGTTTCGCTTTTCGCCTCAGGCTGACGAGTTGTTTTGCTTACGAGATCTCTCCCATAGGCGTCAGCCTTTGGGTAATCCTGAAATATAGATTATTATATTAATATTAATATCTCAGTACTCTTGTCAGTTTTGTGCCTAGTTATTGCACTTTCTGACTGTATATAGTATCCAGTTACCGTGATGGAGAGTTACTGTTAACTAGTATCCTTATGTCTTTTTCCTTTCTACATTTATTTATGGCTCACCATCCGAGTTTCATATTCATATCATTATTCTTTTCCAAACCGGAACGCAGAAAAATTGATTCATACCATAGCGAGATGAGCTTGAATGAGGGAATTTTTAGTATCATTGTAAATAGTATAGCCACAGGGTGCAGCAAGCAATTCCTGGTCCTGAAATTTGACTACATGTACTTTCCCACAATGGAAGCGGAGTCAAGCACAACCGAAGTTGGTCGACGTCTGAGAAAGAACTCGATTCAGTTTTATTTCTGCACTACCTCCAGAGCGACCCTCTCGCGAGGACAGACTGCGGAGAGGCCAGAAACCTGCCGAGTCGCAAGCGGAAGTCCAAACTACGGAAATGAAGAGTAGAGGGACCTCACGTGAGAGGCAGATGATCTTTTCTCTTAGTAGTGCTGTATCCTATTTGAAGGAGAGAACAAGTAAGCTGGAGAAACATTGTGAAGTCCTTAGGCCTGATGTAGTACCAGCTCTTGTTGAAGTCTCACTTGTTCCGATATGTACATTTTCTCAGCCCTGAATCCGAGCAACTGTACCTAGACTGGACTTAGCCCAGAGACATGGTATTGTAGACCTTAGGCCATGGTAGGCCATGGTCGTAGTGGTCATACCTCATGTGACGCCCCTGCATTCCTTCACTTGCTATTCGTTCCTTATCTACCCAAACTCAGGAGCTCTCAATGGGCGAAACAGGTGTCTGGAGGATGTGGAACATCTATCCAAGAGAACTTCCTCGATATGGTGTGTTGAAATGGGCCAAGAGTGCAGTGTGGAGAGATGGACAGTTCGAGCTCTACATCATTTGCTATATTTGTGATGTGAGTGAGCATATAGTTTTTAATTAATCTTGGCATTATTGCAACTATTGTCGCCAAATCACCTGTTCACATCCTCAGATATTTACTGTGCCAATGATGAAGTAAAACAAAAGAGCGAACTGGCAAACAGACAAAGACGAAGTGAAAGAAATGACTTACGGCATGGCTCCCGAAATTCACAGAAGAAGGAAAATTTCGAGTTTGCGCCATACCACTTTTCGTCAGATGCCCTCCTATTGGTACCTGTGGGCAAGCTCTTCACCCAGAGAGGTGGACGGGTAGTTCGGCTGATTTTTGCAACATGCGTCACCGTGCAATTGGAGTATAGCGTGCTGAGGCTTAAAATATCAGAATCGGTGGCAGAAACCGGCGCCAGGTGCTGACAATCCTGGACTGCTGCTTCGTATGTGGTATAAATGGGTTGTGCCCGGCTAGCAATCCATGAACAAGTGCTTGGACAATACGTTTCCAAAATGCCTGAAAAAGAAAAAATAGAAATCCAATACTCCGAGGTTGAGCCAATAATTCTTATTTAACCCTTTGGAGTCCATGGTTCGATTTCGAACCATGGGCATTTTGCATGCATGTGGGCCCAGTCAAACTTTCGGTGCTCGGCCAAATCTTGACCAAATTCACCGATCGAAGGGTGTAAATGGTAGCGAAAACTCTCAGCTTTCGCCTCGAAGAGGTCCGAAGTCGCTCCAATGAAGTTTGAGTGAGCGGCGAGCGATCAAACATTTCGAATTTTCTGCACTGCGTGCTGCGAGTCAGCAGTGCGTGAAAAAAAGGGATTTTCCCAGCTTCATGACAGGCGGCACGTGCCAGGACCGGCGCGGCGCGAAGTCACGGCAAGGTAAGCTTCTACTCGGAAAAATTTGAACCGTTCCGAGCTTGATTCAGTGCTATGGCTACAGGAGACCGATTTCGTCTCAGATCTGGAGCTGGACTCGCGTTTGGGGCGCGTTGTGGCGGACAATGAAAAGTGCTCTAGGCGAGTTTGGGCTCATTGTATTTCTCTCATCAAGAGCTTTCCAACGAGCCCAAGATCTTCAAAATCGGTGAAGTAGAACCAAAGTTATGTTAGAAATGGAGGGCGCATTTTTCGTGACCGCCACAAATTCTGCGGAAGCAAAAAAGTTACGGACTCCAAAGGGTTAAGGAGAAAAGGACCTATAAGTTATTAATTATGACTAACAGTCCACCAAGGTAACGAGATATTATTATAATTATGGGCCACAACCAGCTAAAACATGTCTCATAGGCTAATTTTTCAAATTTTGTTTTCCTCCAGAA